TTCGATTCCGCAGTCGAAGTCGTCTGTGGCTGGATCGAATTGATGTTGATTGACTTTTTGGTGTGTTGGCACCCAGAGGTGGCTGAGCTTTCCGGGATTTGTGCTGGTTTTTAAAGAACCAAGATTACTATGACATCTGTACCACAGATATTCCTGGTTCGCCAGGCTTGCACACATCTGGTGAAGACGAGAAATTTTGGGTCGCGGGAACTTCACCATGATTGCTTCATCTGTCGTTCCTTGCACGTGCCACGCTGGCAATGAGCACGACAGGGGAATTGTCGCTCTCGAGCCGCTGTTGAACTTTGGGGTAGTCGTCGATTAGTTTAGCTGCCCGATACTGGGGGAGAAGTGTTGCACCGAGAAGAGCTAGCAGGCGCCTGACAGCCGAACTAACACCCCTTGCACTTCAAAGTTTGGCAGGTTTCTACTCTAGTTCGTTCCTTTTCTTGTTTGCCTCGTACGGGCTCATTTTCCATTATTCGAGAAGAATAATGACGCTTTGATGAGCCTCACGTCGGTTGGCGATTTCCTCCCAGTTCTCGATTAGCGATCGACCTGGTTAGGGCAAAGGCTTACCTAGCCAAAGCCAGCCAGGGTTAAGAGGGTCCTAGATTAAAATGAAGAGCTCTGGCATTGATTGACACGTAACTTGCGACGGCTCTAGTTCGCTTTGGCGTGCATGCCACCTGTACCAGCTCAACAGTCGTGCCAGAGTTGTAGCCAGGCTTTTTCTCGGGTGAGACGAGGCTGGATCGCATTGCATAACTACCGCTGTCGCTGCCCCTGTCGTTATTCTCACGAGCCCTGCACTCAGGAGGGTATGATAACGATAAAAAAAGTCGACGCCCAAATCTCCACACTGAATCGTTAATTGTTGACAGGGATGGCTGGATGGAGCCGTGAGAACTGAGGGGAATGCAAAGATAGCGACCAAAAAGCCAGACACGAATAATTAACTGCCCTCCAGACTTGCAACAGAGGTGTCCAGTCCGTTGGGAGGTGCCCGTTAAGCGATCAAAAATTGTCGTGCTGCTCGCCGCCACATCGGGGCTAGTGCCGTCGTCTTGCGCTTCCCAGACCTCAATTTGCTTCTCATGCGAACATCTGCGCGAGAGAAACACTTGCACATTGACAGATCGACAGACTCTTGCTCAGTGGCCATTGGGGGCTCTGTCTCTGCCCAGATTCCCTTCCTGTTTCCTCCTTCAATCGCCATGGTCTCTTCCTGTATTTATTTTGCCTCGTTCTGATGCAAACTAGTTTTGTAAGTCATCTCAACCCCTTGTACTCTCATTCAGTGCCCTCTGGTCTGTGTTCGCTCTCCTTTGCGCCCAATTGCAAAACAATGAATCGAATTCCTTCTGCGGTACAGCCACAAACTCTTGTTCTTCTTTCTTGCTCCCTCCGGGCAGCATTGGATTGCAATCTTACCATTGGTTGAGCTTTTAATTCTTCTGACGAATCGGCGGTTTGTAGCCAGTGTACTGAACGGTCCACGTTGGAGAGGTATGTCATTGGGCTGTCATTCCTAAAGACGTTGACAGTCACTGGCCTATATAGTTGTGGTGATGGAGCCTGGAAACGGACAGATGGCTCAGAGCTTCCAGCCGTCTCTTTCTCCGTACCGCATCTGTATATTATTCCCTCTCTT